AGATATGTTATGTCGTAACAAAAATTGAGGTCTCATTTTCTGCTTAACTTAATAATTATATAATTTAAACAGCTTATATATATATATATATACATATATGGATAACAATATTATACAAAAATCAAAAGTATGTATTAGTATGACAATAAAAATAGCGGAAAAACATAATAAAGTAATAGATATAACAATAAAAGTAATAGTAACGACCAAGAAAACAGAAATAATTCAAAACAATAATTTAAACAAGTAGATTTAAGGCCATATAAACAGTCTGTCAGAAGTTGCCAAAAAATCATTTGAAACATAATTAGAAATTTTCACTGCCTGGATACGAGCACATAAGTAAGATTTCAAACAATTTTCCATGGACACCAAAATAAGATAGTTTATACAAAAGAATGTTGTGATTTACCTTATCAAACGCTTTTTGAAAGTCAGTAAAAATAGTGTCTAATTGGACACGTTCGTTAAGTGCCAAAAGAATCTTTGTCTGATAAAGTAATATATAGGTATTAGTGGAAATCGACATCTTGGGTCTGAAACCATGTTGGTTTTTACATACTATGAAGGGGGGCAAGATTTTAAAATTATAAGCAAGCGGAGACTCAAAGTGTTGTCATTAGCCAATGCAATATTATACTTTTTGTAAGAAAATCTAACGGTGGGTGATAATCATCAATTTTAGGTACAAGAGATCCTAACGAATAAAATATTAAAGATATTAGCAAGTTCGGCATCAGTACTAATCATTATGCAATCAAGAGTAAGTATATGGTTAACTTGCTTCAAATGTAAGTAATTTATATAACAGTTAAATATCGGGGAACCTTAAGTATGATCTTGAGTAATTGGATCAATAGACCAGTCAAATTGATTTTAGTTAAAATCACTCGTAACTATGAAATAATAATCAGGGTAATTATGATATATAGACTCAAATACCTCACAATGTTTAGAATATGTACAGGGTGTCGTGGAAAGTTCTACCGAGCTTCAAATGCGAGACATTTAGGATGCTCTATGGGTACAATAAACGGTATTCATTTTTTTTTTATTTTTAAATTATTTTAAACAGAACTCGTATCTCATTCAAAAATGGTCTAGAAAAAAAAATTATTTGCAGATTTGAAATCAGGAGAAAAAATCTTGTTGAATTGATATGTAACATGATTTTTTGATTTTGATTACATGCCGGCCACTCAGGGGCCACCATGTGGACGCACGTGTGGCCGGATACCAAAAAATCATGTTACATATCAGTTCAACAAGATTTTTTCTCCCAATTTCAAATCTTTTTGTTAGACCACTTTTTAATGAGATACGAGTTCTATTTTAAATAATTTTAAAATTTAAAAAAAATGAATACCATTTATTGCAGCCCTTCAGTGCGTGCTAGTGGTGCAATTGGTGCATCGCACGATTTCAAATATCCTGACTATAGCGTTTTTAATAAATAAACTCAAAATTATACGGATATCGTTTAGTACTAGTTTTCTCTGTTAGAGTGCGCCACACATCCCATAATGACAGCGCGATATCAGCTATACGGGTAATACTAGGCATAATCACATCACATAGAAAAACATGTATATTTTTAGATTATTAATTTTCACATTTTTTTTTTTTGAAACAACGGCTAAAATTTAAACAGTCTACGTGAAAATCAATTTTTATCTACTCAACGTAGGCACACTACAACAAATGGAAATAAGACGGTCTTTTATTTTGAATGGATGTGATTAAGTTAAGACCTCAATACTACCGTAATGTAGTTTAATATAATATATGTGGATTTGTCGCTTGGATAGAAAGCCGAAAATTATTGAAAATACCGACACTGATCTTTTCGGTGGCAAAATGAACACGTGTCGTTTGAATCAAAATGTGTGGCAGAATATTATGGACGAAAACTGTCTGGTTGAAATTGTGATGACCGCAGCTGTGTAAAAGTATTTTAAGCATGCAAATCGTTTAGGATTTGCATGCAAAATATGTGCTAAATTATGGCGACAAAGTATCTGACCGAAAATATAGTCAAAAACGACCATTGCGGCCGCACCTGCCAATAGCACTACTAAACGCTGTCGTTGCCAACAGATGACAAACAACAAAGTTAATACTTGGCGAATAACACCATAGCCGAATTCCTACTTATTATATTCAACAATCTGTCTGGCTCTCTAAACGAGGAATAAGTGATTGTCAGTCTCTACTTTTCTACTAGGCAAATACTGTTCAAATCTCCCCATGATACCTACCCGATGATGATAAATATAACATCTATATATATATTGTATGTATACTGAGCAGATAAGAATTACAGGTAAGGCTCTCGTTCAGATTGTTGAATTTAATACAAGCACTTGCATGTGCCTCTCGTGTTATACATTTTGGTTATTTAGCTATTTTAGTGTAACAATAAATTGTTTAATTCTACTTTATTTACATATAATGGAGTAGGACAATTTCTGGGGGGGGGGGGGGGTTATAATTACTATTATTTTTGTTTTACATAATTATGTGTACTTAAAAGTAGGTACTATATCAGAAAATTGCTCAAATTTGCGTTTTTTTCAATTACCAATTAAATAATAGCCATTTTTTTTTTTTGAATAATTTTCTTAAAGATACAACTGACATTGAAACATTGACATTTTTAAACATGATATTACTAGACTAAAAAAAAACTGACATTTCTGGTTTTGTTTCCTGTACCCAATATTATTGACCAGCTAAAAGTTTGATTCTTCCTACCGTGGCCATCTTCTTCGGACTATACCACTATAAAGTTATATATATATATATATTTTTTTTTTTTTTACATTGAAAGTGAACCTTCTGCTTTTATCTATTCTGTGGCTAAACTACTGTTTAATAATTTCACAGACAAGTTAACAAATTGTCAAATTGTCTGAATTGAACTTGAATTTAAATTTAAATAAATTCCACAAGTTTCTCTGACTTTTTTTTGTTGATCGCTTATAAAATATGTACTCTTTTTGTTTGAATTGTCATACTTTAACTATATCAATAATTCACATGTTTCCCTTACCAACTTGATATATTTTTATGTAAACAAAGTTAATACCGCCGTATAGACCGTTTACATTATTTATGTATGGCCAACGGGATATACATACCTATTTTACATTCAAACATTATGAATGTAGAAAACTTTTACTACTCGCCTAAAAGTATTTTCAAAAAAAAAAAAAAGCGTTTTTTTCTGTCAACTGTTTATTTATTTATTGTGTTATTTCTAAACAAGGTTGGTGTTCCCAAGTCTTGATTGGGATTTTGTACACTTAAACGATGAAGACACTTACGGCTAAAGGTGCTCGTCTACAAAACAGCGCCTCGGTAACAAAGTTTGTATTATGCAAAGCTGTTGTGTTTATATTGAATTTGTTTTTTTTTTTTGTCTACTTTAGTGTTTTGTTCAACCAACGGGATACGGACGAATAATACCAAAGGGGTCGTTGCTAAGCCCCACTGCGCTTTTATTATATTTATACTACATTTGTTTTTAGTCAGCTTATTTTTTACTTTGGCGTTACATTCGGCTAACGGGCTGCTGTCTTACTGTCCGGAGCTGCCAAAACGTTTATGCATTTTGAGTGCGAAAAAAAAAAAATAATAACAATTTTTTACTTCTGCCGTTCTAGACAATGGAACGAAAAGCCAGTTCGATTTATCAAACGACGCCAGTTGACATCATTCCTTTTGTACAGACATCACAGATGTATATTATAATAAACAGCTAGATTGCTAACTAGTGATAAGAATTGAAGTCGACGTCGGCCATTTTTGTGGGATTTATGAGTGTATAAAATTATATATATATATCTGTGTTTCAGTGCTACCAACTTAACCTGTAATTATTATTATTGTTATATAAACAGTGATAACAGCTGATGTAAACATGTGATAAGGTTCTTACAAGATGACGGAAAATGATAACTTCAATTATCTCCGGATTTCCGATTATTAGCTTTAGAAACCAAAAAATTGTTATCAACCCGTTATATCTTTCTGTTCATAATTAATCTTTTAAAATGGCTTTAAAATTTAATTTTGAAATACAATAAAAAAACTGCTTTTTTTAACGAAAATATAAAAAACCGCTAAAACTGTTCAGCTATAGCGCATAAAATGTTAAGAATAAGAATAAAATTACAATTTTTAAATCTAAAACAACAAAAAACTATTTTATCTGACAAACCCCGCTGTATTAAAACATAAATAACAAAGTCTAATAGGGGAGTAAAAATCTTTAAAATAAACTTATAGTCAAATTAATTATATTTTTTATATTTATAATTTATAAAACAAATCTTAATTGAAATAAAATTTAAAAAATAATTTTTAATGGATATTATCAAAAATAGATTTTTTAGAGTTGTTTTTTTGAGAATTACTCAAGTTAAAAAGTTAAATACAATTTTTTTTCTGAAACTGTCTATTTTTCATACTTGAATTTAACAATGTCCTAAAAACAAATTAATTCCTTATAGCATATTACAATTTGTTGATTTCTGAAGGAACTTTGATTAATTAATGTTGGAGAATGAGAAATATTTTATTAGTCCAGTCTAGTTAGTCATTACGAAATGTTGAAATTTTATAAATAAGTTTTTCATAAAAAGATCATTCTGCGTTAACTGATTTTAAAAGAATATTATAATACTCAAAATTGGCAAAAATCTATAGTATTTTATAATACTGGACTAAAACAAAAAGCTTGATATTTCTGAGAAGATTTTTAATTTTATGGGCTACTATTTTTGAATTGATAACGGTATTTTCTTTTTTTATACATGTTTACATATTTTCAAGGGGTTGTTTTGGAGTTTTTTGCAAGCAAATTATATACTGTTAAATTTTGATTGTATTCTGTTTGTGTGCACTTTGTTTGTACCGTGCAAAAATCTATAAAACGATCAACACAATAACATTGAAAAACAACAAGTAGGTGTGGGTAATTCATTATGTGTAGTTCATATATTTTTTTATTCAAACATTTTTTTTTTTTTCATTAAAAACATGCATTTTGTTATAAACAATTTAACTATGTTTTTTATAAACATTATCTAGATAAATAATAATTATATTGTTGCATATACATTTTGATTTTTTGCCTCATCTAAAATGAACAAAGGGTTGCTTAGGTAGGTAATTCACTATTTATACATTGGCGCTTTTCTCTTTGGTCTCCCGTCTTTCCCTTACTTACAACAAAAGCATTTTATTTACTGTTGCATTTTCCGCTACTATCGACTATTACAAACGTTCACATATCAACCGTATTCACACTAATGTAGACTAGAACCAAATTCCAAATGATAAAACTCTGCAATCTCGAAACGGCACCTGAAAGAAATGAAAATACAGTTTTTCATTTGCTAAAATAAAAAACAATACAGTAAGAAATATTCAGCCGGTTTCGCCAACTATTGTTAAATACACACTTTACACAATGTTAGTTAACAATCCATTTAAATTTAACATCTGGTCAAATGAAATAAGTTTTACCATAACATTAGTATTGTTAAATTCTATTTGTTAAGTTAACTAACCGTTATTTGGGTTACCAAAGCGGTTACCTCGATTCCAACGTTCTCATTGGTTATTAAGATATGTGATAGCTGATAAGTGGTTGTGATATTTAATTTGTCAGTTTGTTATTATTTGTTTATTTTATTTTACTTTCTTTTATCGTTTCGGTTTACATAAATAATTTATATACAATTTTTAAACACATTGTTTAAATAGTCTATTTTTTTCTAAAAGTAGTTTGGCAACGAGATCATTAAAATAATTTTTTCTACTTTGAAGGCCTAAAGAAAAAGGGTAGGTAGTGATAAGAATTATTTCCAATGCTATACTCAGGACAGGCAAGACATAATAATATTATCTAAATAGTATAAAATACAATAAATTATGAACCTACAATGCAAGTCTATGTCATTCCTATGTACCCAATTTACCTACATAAAATAACTTCTGCTCACCTAATAAAGGGTAAATATAATTAACAATAAGTTGAATTCTTAACAAATGATGGTGACACCGGCTGATTTTATTTTGTACATTTAACAATAGGATAAGTTTGTCATTACTTTTGGAATGCGGCGACAGACTCGGGCCAATGACTTGTGCTAATTTTGGAGGTGCATTGTCCACCAGTTCGATGTCGGACCAGGCTTTGTACAAATGAAACTGAGTGGTTTGACATGTGATTTTTATTCGGCCCGTCGTAAACACCAAAGGGTCAGCTACAGTGTGTAGAGATGATTTCGTGACGACCAGGTTGGCTGGAAGCTTTTCGACGACAGTCTTAACGTGCACCGATCGCATGGAATTTGCCTGTAAAGCGAACATTTTTCAATATTAACCCAAAGATTTCTGTGAAAGTATTTGTTTTTTTTACAACAAGTATGTCGGCCTTGGAAGCAGCCATGTTGTTTACAATTTCATGGAAAATAAAAATGCTAAGTTACTTTTCCGTGATAAATATTAAAACCTACACAAAGACATACGAGTAAACACAGTCAAAGAACTAGCTAACTAACCCATTATAAACGTTTCCATTCGAATTTATTGACACACAACAACCCACTAGTTTCACAAATGTCTACTAATACTTTGCCATCGAACCGTATATGTTATGTAGGTTTTTTTTTCTAAAGTGGCTGCACTGAAATTTGCAACCTTGATCGAATCAATATTTTAATAGCAGGGATCATCTATATTACTCAATTGTGATAACACAGTTATATATTTGATAAATCATTGAAAAAACAATAACTCTTCTCAATTTGGCGACCTATCCCACTAGCGGATATTTTCAGTCGACTATAATCAATGCGCGTTTCATATTATATCTAGTTCAATGATTATAGGCATTAATAAATATATACTGCACTGTAAGGTCCAATCACTGAACTCGATGTATGGAACGCTTATTCAGATTAAAAAATGTCCTGGCCTGGAAGGCAGCCATTTCGTGTACCAATTTCATAGAAAGTAAAAATGTTACTTTACTTTTCCAAGAAAATGTTAAATTAGATGATAACATCGTCGTATAACAGACTGTTTTTATATTTGATAAATCATAGAAAAAACAATAAATATCATGGAAAAAAGATAACTGTTCACAAAATGGCAGCGGTCTATAGGCAATACGCGTTCCATGTTATATTGAGTTCAGTGGGTCCAACACATGATTTGTAATGGTCAGAAAGAGTATAGTGAAACATGTTTCAGTTCAACTAAATGGGTTGAGCTAAACGTGGATTTGGTGAAGCTAAATACTAGGTACAAGCGAGTATTACCGTTTTATTATTTAGAAACCATGTCACGTTGACGGCTGGATAGCTTTCTGTCGTTACACAGTTGACATTGATTCGGTCACCCGTCGAGTACTTCATATTTTTTGTTTGTAGCTTTGGAGGCGACGATGGTTCGTCTGCAATGGTTAAAATCAATCACAGTTAGTACAAAAAATTACAAATTTCAATACACTACAGCGGAATACATTCATGTTTGCATGTAAAACCGGTCAGCCTTGTACACCACACTTTGTTCGTGCTTTAGGTACATCGTTAAAATTTAACATTACCCACGACGAAGCGACACTATATCAGCTATTTTGGCCACCCGGCAAGACACTGTAGAAAAACGACTCGATCCATTAAACGGTTTAGCTTGGCTTTCAGAGCTTATCTCAATATATTTCATTAATCATATTGTCACCGCAGTGTTTTAGTGACCCAGTTTTATATTTTTACATTCTCCCGAAGTTTAGTCGAAAGCCAAAAGAATAGTTTGCTGCGTGAACCCGTGAGAGCTTTACATTTCAGTTTGGTCTTGATCGTGTAACAAACATATGTACAAGAATTCTTCGGTTTGTATTTTTGTATTTTTTTTTTGGAGAAATCCATAAATTTCCTTTTGAGTACACCGAAAGACCGAAGTTCACTCCGACATACACAAACGTTGCATTATAAGAGTTCGGATACGGGATGTCTAAGGCAAAAATACTTATCCTAGTATAATACACGCATAAGTGATCTGCCATTCCCATTGCCGTCCAAAACGTTATACCTTTATCGAATAAATAGCTAGCACTTGCCGTTTCCGTTACGGTATCAAATAAAAACCAGCACTTCTCAATTGGGCATTTTGATTTTATTTTGGCACCGAGTATGTATATTTTCTTTCTAAGCACACCGACCGGTTTCTATGGAGTTGTAGCGGCAAAACGTTATGCATATTTCTTTGCAAATTTTTAACACATAGAACAGTTGAAATGTACAACTTCTATTGTACAAATAAGTTGCCTAGTACCAATTTTTGTAAACACATAAACGAGTGTAGGAAAATACAAAACACGAGTACTTAAAAATCACAGGACTTTTTGATTTTTTACAGAAAGGAAATTAATATTTTTACTAGAAATGTTTATGTAGGTACATACGTAATTATATAAAATGAAATTTGATTATTATTTTGGCAAATGGCAAATCTGAATTTTTGTTTGTTTAACAATATGATATATTAAGCTGCGTTGTTCTAGAAGTTATATTGCGTTTGTTAGAGTTTATTTTATTGGAAATAATTCAAGGGGAATTGAGGGTTTATCAAATTCATTTGAATTATGAATTCCATAAATTAGACGGGTCTCAATAGGTTTAGTAGTTAACCACGATAATGATTAGTTAAAATTCTACATCTGCAGAATAACTGGCGGTAAATAAAATGAACATATAACAATAATTAAGCTCCTCCCCTTGTAAAAAGAAAAATTAGAAGTGGCCCTCTCATTGTGTGCATTGGCAATTGTTCTGGACATGTGCACGTAATAATACTTCTGACTTGACAATAATGAAACAATTTCATTCAGACCTGCACTGGAATTTCACATAGTTTCTGGGATAACAAATTTTTACCTTTTAAAATGTCACGTTGTTTACTTGCCACGTTGACATATTAAATGAAATGTACCAACAAAAATACATACCACACGCCGTGTATGATATATACCGAAACTAGACTTGTTGGCACCCAGCTGCCTGTCCAGTGGTTAACTATAATTTATGGGCGATTCAGTAATTCTTTCGACCACCGTGTGTAATCAATCACAAGCTCAGACGGAAGTATCACCGTGTGTCTGCTTGTGGTGTCTTTCAATAATTAGGTTTACAGGATAAGATGCGTTTGGGAGAGTTCAAAATAATCTTTAACACTTTTAAATCTGATTCTGACTCGATATTCCTGTACCCATTGATGCTAGGATTCAGAGACAATTTAATTTAGCATTCAGCAGCACATATTTATTCTATTTTATACTGCTGTTGTATATACTTAAAATAAATAAATAAAATATATTTTTTCACCGCAACGGACGTGCTTGTGAAAATCCGAAATTCCCAAACAGGTGAACGCAATAAGTAAAAATATTATAAAGTAAGCGAAAAGGCGAGCTGCAGTGTTACCAACATGACATATTTGTTGTCACTACAGCAACCGTGTGAGACAAAACATATGAATTATAATGTTACCATAATAAATTCGAATTTATCTATTGATCCGTGCAGTTGATAATGATTATACTCTGCAGCGTTTAACAATTTATAAAAAAAAAATTATTTATTTTTACTAAAAGTGGTCACGCTGTCGTTCGTCTTTTTGACTACTTCGTTGCTGAATACAGGCCGGCATTATATGATTATGTTACAGCTTTATATATAGTTTTAATCTTTGGAACGTACTTAGGTCCTGCCAGCAGGACCTATGTTATGATTAAACTACTATGTATATACAAAGGACGATATCAATTTCCAACACTATTGCGTTGACGTTTAGGCGCCTAGACGCGCGTCTCATAACGTTTTGATGTCTCCAAGGAGACACGCGGCATATTATTCTGTACTATGATAATGGTAATAATAGTAATTGTAATATTGTACAATGCGAACCGGGCCATCAGACCGATACCGAAGGGACGTCGGTGCGATACAATAGAGAAATTCCACCATTATCGTTATAATTATTATTATTATTATTATTAGCAACCAATTGTGGTAACGTGCAGTGCTGTAAAGCGATTGCAGAGGCAGAGTAATAACGCATACATATCACATCCAACATAATAGTGTGGTCCCAGTTTTGTGCTTTATATGCCATCACCTAAAACGTTATTCGTGATAATATGTATGTGTGTACATGCCACACGGTTAACATTCGTGCTGGCACACACATCGTATGGGTATAATATGTAATAATATGTATAGTATAAAATATAGAACAACAATGATGAGTGTAATAATTAAACATTCTCCGTGGCGCAGACGACGGCAGACAGAATGGCTTTGGAATTTCAGCTTTAATAACCGAATGACGTTTAAAAGCGCGACTGCCAAAGTTGAAATAAAATAGGTACAATCGGAAAACCCTAACCAGAACCACTTTAGTGCGGTGACTATAGCAAGATACGGGTTATCTTGTGTTAAATCACAGACTATATGAAAACTGATAGCTCTCTGTGACCACAGGTTCAAGCATAAAATTTCATAAGAATACCACCGTTTAGATTAGTCGAAAAGAAATGATCTAATCTGTGATAATATAGTCAGTTATTATCATTCAAATCGTATGACTGATAAGGAGTTTGTACAATAATATTGTAAAATATCTACACGATAATTTATACTAATTCGTGCGGCTACACTGGTATCTTCCTAATCAGTCTTTTTAAGAATTTCCATTGTTTTTTTTGTCGAGTGAACCATCTGCATATTATAGTCGTGATAAAATAATGCATAACTTGCCTGTGACGTATGTGAGTTTAGTCTTTATATCTGTGTGAAACAAAGGAGCGTCTGCGGACACCTCGCACTTGTAGTAACCGGTCAAATCCCTTCGGACATTCACTATGGTCACCCTGTTGGCGTCGGATTCTTGAACCTGCAAACAAACGCGTGTCCAAGAAGTAATTATATAAGACGGGTAGGTTTTAAGTACATGTTTAATATTTTAACAAATAAGTCGTACAGAAATAATGGCACTGTGCACTCTAAAAATATCGAAAAATGTAAACAGACTTTAATAATCTCCGGTCAGTGTGACCAAAAAATTAAAAAAATTAATTCATTCTGTTGTACAGTGTGGCCAAGGAAATCTCATCAAACGTCTGTAATGTTATCACCATCAACCATCGTTAATCAACTACTTGTTATCAGTGATTCTTGTGTTTTTATGTTTTTGCATTGAAAAAATGTCCACAGAAATGTAAAACGTTTCAAATAATATAAACATATATAGTTGTCAAGCTAAATAATACATCTGACATTTTAAATAACAACATTATACTTACTAATACAATTTTTAAGGCTAGGCCAATTTAAGTAGGGGATACCACCACACAGTCTGCCCCATCCCAATTGATGTCTCTTTGATGTTCTTAGTGCTATTTTATTAACAAATTATTTTAGCTTTTAATTTTAACATTACAAAGTTAATTATTTAATTAAAATAAAAAACATTCATTTTTATTATAAATATTTTTCATTTTTTACAAGAATTAGGCAGCTGTGTTATTGTTTTTTCTTAACCTCTTAACTATAAACTTCACAAGTCGTTATTAATTGTTTTACTTTTAAAATATCCAGTATTTCTTCACATACTGTATACATTGCTATTAGTAGAACAGAATTAAAATATTTGTATTTTATTTTATTGTTTTAAGATACATAATATAGTCTCAATGTTTTCAACTTAGACTGTTATTTCAATATAAGTAAATGTAGTATAATTTCTTGCTTCTACGAAGCAAGGAAAACATTGTTTAGAGTTCTTTGTAGTCGCCAATCGTTATTTTAATAATAAATGTCTAAAAGTTTTGAAATATCTTATTATCTAGGAACGTATACATGTATATTTGAGTTATTCAAACAGCGACCTTTTAATATAAGTATATATACACTTTTTACTTGTATAAACAGTATACATTTTTCGTTCAACTCAGCTATTTAATTATTTATTAAATGATATGTTTCAAACCGAATTTAACTCTGAACGTTGTCTCTTTCACTAGTGGATATTTGAAGTCTAGTTCTTCTCCTTACTTCTAATATTATTATAATTTAGGTCAAACGACTGATTTTATAGATAACTACTGGGTTTTCTGTTTACTTTATTTAAATAATTTGAATATGAAGTTTATATGATTTTAGAAATTCTAAGAAACTCTAAATCACATAGCTAGAAAGTATATACCTTTTATAAAAACTAATTCGATGAACCGCTCTTTGGTGAACCCAAGAAAAAAAGAAACTTGAAAAAAATCATTCAATTAATACCCCCTCTCGTTTTTCTGCAAATAAAAAATAATAACATGCAAGGCTGGACGTTTACAAATTAGAGATTAGCATCATTTAAATGATGCACACATCTGCCTATAATAATTACCCAAACCCTCTGGCTATTTGGTTCACTAGGTTTGTTCTCCGGTTACAAAAGAACCATCTTAAACATGTGATATGCCCTACAGGTAAATTAGTAAGATAAGACCACAAGAACTTAACTGTATATTTATCGAATTTGAAGTTTTAATCAAGTCAGAGCGTGATAACTGTTGTAATTTCTTACTTTTTAGTGTCGTCGTTCTCAAATATCGATGCACTTTATTGTTTTTATACAAGTTCTTTAAATCTTAAATTTATATTTGTTGTTTGATATTTACATATCTACCTATTTTACAATAAAAACTTTGTAGTACAATCTTATTAAAAGTGAAAAAAAAAAAATGAATTTGCTCTCACGAACAATTTCCATATTGTGACTTTTAACAATTGCACACTGCGCCATCGATATGTACTTTGTAAAGTAAAGCGTTTTATACTTGGAAAAAGTTTTTAAGTAGATCATCTTGGGTCGCAATCATATTGCATTGACAACCTTAGATCAATATGTGTGATACGTTGGTACCGCTACAGATGAAGTGTAAAAGTTTTGCTAGGACACTGACAATGATAAAAATTAACACGGGGAAGATATCTATCACACAAAAACGCGGTGACCATCTTCTTAAGGCTACACCGCTATAATGACGTTATATCTATACATTATTATTTTTAGTGGTGTATAGATTTACTAACACACAAAAGATACACCGGCAAACTCCTTAAAATCAAATAGGAACTCTTTAGCGAAAAATAACAGCATAAATACGGTGAATTGATTTGTTGTGTGTGAATTGTACAATTTTTATAGATATTATTCATTCGTAAACCGTCCTTACTAGGTCTACCCATCACTTAGAACTGTAAAATAAAAAATAATAAACATTTTTCAGCTGAGTCTGCAATCATGAAAGATCATTTCCATGTATCTCAGGTTGACTAGTAAACATATCAAGTTTCTGGCTAATATTTTAGTGTTTTCATAGTATCTGGCCTAAAACAATTCATAGGAATATGACCTCTTAAATTATTGAATTTATTTTTCAGTTCTAGTTTGAACGTTGTGAATACAACATATATGCTCCCACCCCAACCCCATTGCTCATCTCTAATCTCTTATCTCTTATCTCTTACCCCCTATCTCCTATCTTTTACCTCCTATCTATAATCTATTATCTCCTAATTTTTACCTCCTATCTCTAATCTATTATCTCCTATATCCAATATCTTACTCCATATCTCCTATATCCTATCTCTTACCTTCTATCTCTTATCAGATAAAACGCTTTTTTCGGTTATGTGCCAGAGCAAAGACGTGAAAATGCCCTCAACCCCATTCCCGACCCCACCCCACGCAAAACATTAACAGCCTTGATTGCACTGAAAGGATACACTACCCGCTGGTAGTCAGTGGACTTTCTGGGTTCTTTACAAATCCGTGGGAAAATATTTGAAAAGAACGTACAAAACCGATGCACAATGTGTGTTACTCACGTTTACCATAATGCCGAATGTCGGGAAAACCCTGGTGGGTGGCGATTCTTTGGGCACGTACCGATAGAACTCCTGGTCTCTGAGATACCATTTTATCGAATACAGCGCCTGTTTTTCCAAATCGTAGGTGCAGTTCATGCGCAACGTCGATCCGGATCTCACAGCAACTGGCACGTGGATTTCCAGGTCCTTCACTCCAAAGCATTCTGAAAACGAACGAAATAAGAATTCACTCAACTGATCGACACACCACATTATTTCTCTTATTCTAGCAAACATTTTGTCACATTTCTGTCGGTGAACGGCTGAACAGAATTGATCATATGAGATATCAGTAGATTAGGAAAGTTGTATAGAAGGGTACGTGCAAATAAACATAGAGGTTGGGTGAATACTTTGTTAGTTGCAAGCAAAATAGTACAGCATTTCTGAGGTTTCGAGTTACTTGTTTTAGTCAAAAAGTTATTATTTAGGATGATAACCGGAGCCGGCACGACGTTGTTGCTGACCATGGTTTATCGACAAATCGCAATGTGTTGTGTCTTTGTTTAGCTGCGACGGTGGCCGGTGATTTTTGTGTGTTGGGTATTTTGTGCTATTATTTGGTGTTGTTGTAGTCTGATTATGATTCGCAAAAAAAATCTGTCTATGTATTAAACCAGTCAAGAAAAAATGTAAACTTAGTTTACTTGGCCGGAAGTCGAAGTTTGTTTTCCTGTTATAGTTTTCCTACTATATTCTTACTACATGACGAGTGCTATATTTACTAGACGGAAACAGGAAAACAAAATTCGAAATACTTAGTTCCTATATTCCAACACACATTTGGAGGCATATGTTGAAACACTAATTATTTTTTACTCTGCTAACATTTACACTGATTTAACGAAGTGTTTTTGCTGAGATATTTTCTGGACACTCTGGACGGGAAAGGGTTTTAAACTATCCGTTTGAAAAGCGTGACCCAAAAATAGTAATCGTCTCGGCACGACAGGGTTTTGCCAGAGTTTAAATAGATAAGCTGTTGGCCGAGTAAACACAATAATTAAGAGAAACGTTCGAGTAATATTGATACACGCTATTCAATCGTTTCCTATTTGACTTAAAACGCTTAGAGCTCGTTAAAAATAATTGCTACAAATTGGATACCGATATTGGACGGAAACGATTTTCCAAATCAAAGTGATGAAAACAGAAAAATTTGTACAAAATGAAATGTTTTTTTTTCTGGTAAACAAGTGGTCGATCATGAATATATTTTTTTTTAGAGAGCACTATCTGGTTTATTTGGCTTCAATCTGTGGTAAAACCAGCAGTCGATGGTCATTTAAAATAAATACAAGCAAAATAACGTGATACCTTTTCGAAAATCACACTGGGCTTTTGATTTTAACGAGTCCAACGATTGTGCATTACCGAGTATTACCTTGTACCCCCACGTTGGTGTATGTTATTATTTGATGTAAACAACATTTTAATTTAGTAGTTCTATCGACGGACGACAGCAGTTGGAAATAATAATAATAATAAACCTTTTATTTCGTGGTAGCCCATTGTCCGGGCCAAATAATAGTAATAATATGGGCAGCGTGATTTATGCTTTTACGCCGGCCCGTGAGTGGTCTATGAAAAACATTGTCCGCTGGTCGGTTTCAATTCGCTTTTTTAGCTGTTTTTTCATTAAAAAACATTTTTTTTTTTTTGAATCAACGCCGTCACCGGAATTATGACTTGCCGTCGCCGAAGGTCTATTAGGAATGCATATGACATATCCGCACACAAATATCGGCTGTTTTGCACAAGCTTTCCTGCAGGTTTTTTTTTTTTGTCACCGTCCCCTCTTTCTCGAACAACCGAAGAATAGTGGGGTCTATTTTTTTCATAATATCTAAAGCCCTACAACGCTGTGTATTATGCCCTTGGCACGGGGATGAATTATTATAACGCCAACGTGATAAATCATCCGGTAATAAATATACACTACTAGCACCCCACAACCGCACCACCATGCACACTGTATAGTGCATGTGTAATTATCATACAATAAAACGCCAGCACAGTCATAGTATATATAGCCTGGGGTACGTTGCAGATTGGCCAGAGATACCGAGTACAATATAGTAATATAGTACATATGTACACTACACATAATACCTATATTGTAATAGCCGAGCAGATTGTTGTTGCAATTTTTATCTATCTCCTTGTGTAGTAGTTAGCAGTGCGCACACATACATATGGCAAACCAAGAAAGATTAAAATTCCGAAGACATTATTCATTTAGTTATATTTCCATTGTACTGTGTACAAATATGCGGTTTTCGCCGCCAATTGTCTACTATAGTTTGAGTGTTAATGTTTTATTATTGTTGGCAAATAAGTACACGAGGTCCACATTAAAATACGGTATCAGTTGAACGATTCTTTCTCTCTCTGCGACGACAAAATATAATGTAAAAAAACAAAAAAGAATCGAAAAAATAATCATTGTTTTTATTAAATGACATGCCAATTAAAAAAAAAACAAAACACAGAAAGTAAACATCAACAGGAAACGATATGTTAATTTTACCTGTATTATAATTACTTGTTGATAAATTAAAAAAACTGTTATCAGTAATATGAAATTGCTATCAGTGATAAGATAACGTTATCAGTGCCCTCCGGTAATAAAACCATTCTTCTCAAAATAACATCCCTCATCATAAATGACCTTAAAAAAAGGTTTACAAGACATATTCGTGTGTTTCCCTCAAAGTGGAAAATAGTATGTACACTTTTTTTTTTGTACTTTTAAGGTTCGTAATAAATTGACTTTGAGTTCACAATCTACCAGAATTAAAATGTAGATCGTGTTTAAAGTAAACGAACAAAATCCGCATTAACATCATTAGGAGGCCCTACACCTGTGTATTTCTATCGAAAACCACTCTAACTAAATTTAACCGTACTCAGGAACGCGTAAAACGACAATAATTTTGAAAACAGGTACACACATTTTTCAATACTCGTTTGATGCATAGATCGTAGTACCTTTTAGATTTTAGTAAAAAAACATAGATTTATCTACATCCACTTATAGATTGATTGTATCTAATGTAAGAAAACAAATCATCACCTAAACTATAGTACATATATACCATGAAATCATTAAACTAATGCAAAGATTTAAATTTAACAGTAGGATAACATACAAGAAATCAACAAGGTAGATAAAATAAATACATAATAACCACATGTTTTTGAAATACATTTGACATGAATTTTATTAATTCCGAAATAAATGAATAATGCTTTAAATTGACAACTTATAGCTAGATACAAGTTTCTTGGTAAAATTGCAAACTAGTTGCAGCATAATATTAAAAATTACTTTTTTTAACAGACATATGAACTATATATGTAATAAATAATTTCGTTAACAGTTATTAAATGATTTACTCTGTACTTGGGTGTTCTATTTCTTTCAGTTGTTTAAATGATCCGTCGTAAAAAGGATACGAATCGAATGACTTCGCAATATCCATGTTGACATCAGAAAACAAATCTTTAACTTCTTCGAGAAAATAGTTTATATTTGTCCACACTGTTGTTAGTGGGGATATTCTCGTACTACTCTCATCAATTAGCGACACATAGTACTGGGAAATATTTTCCTTTAGGGTAAAATCATCTTCTGTAAAATCATCGTAAAATGTTTTTTCAAAGTCAATAAATCTCTTGACGGCATTGTAGAAATCTGGAATCGAATAACGATTCGTAAATGATTGCGTTAAGCGGTCATCATCTGGCGATACGCCAACAAACTCACAGAAATCCGATAGTCTTAAAATCATAGTTTCGTCCAGTGATTTGATATGATCGTCATTTTTCAATAGTGACGTCAGATGTAAATAACTCTCGACAAATTTGAATAATATAAGTTTTAGTACTTTGATTATACCGTTTTTAGCATGCCAGAGGCATGTAATCCGGTGGCTAATCGTAATATTCACACTCATCGCGGTATCCATAATTTTATGAAATGCAATTTTTACATTGGTCCAGTACGTTTCGCCAAAATATTTGACAATAATTCCATCGATTTCGTCCAATTTGTACAAAGCCGTTACTCTACTAAACGTTTTATGTTCTAGGACGTCGGTTGCGTCGTCTCCATACTTTTCGTTGAACGTCATTTGCCTATTTAGAAGCTCTTTATTTATGCAAAGGGTATCTTTCGGTTCTGTACCTGAGAATATGTTCTCTATGATTATGTCGTTTAGTTTTTTTTTCACGTCTTCAAATCCCTCCATTTTAGATACGACAATTTGTTGTAGAGACTCCACGACGAATTGATGCACTTGGAACATGAACTGAGTTTTTTCCGGATCAATTACCTGGTCTTTAGATTTCGCCTCCAACAATCTATGTACATTTTCCGTGTAAAACAATAACGCCCATAGGATATTCCCAAATACGGGATCGTGAAAAGGCACACTGTGAACGGCAGCTAATATTGAAATGGCTTCGGTGTCAAACAACGTGTGGGCGTAATCATCACTGTACATAAACTGTTTGTTAGTAGAGTTGTACAGGAATTCTTCGGTTAGCAGTAAGTGACGTATCGCACATAAAGCATAGCTGCATTGGAGTTTTTGGAAATATTTGTAATCCTCTGAATAGGAGTTTTCTGCCGACTGGACTTGTTCCATATCTGCCCTTATATAATATTCCGGACGGGTTTCCAAAATACCCAAGTGAAGTTTGGTCATCTGCATTGAGGTAGTGAGACCAAACCATAATAGTAGTAAGTTTGAACACAACATTTTCTTTTGCAATTTTTCTTCAAAAACTGTGACTGTACACCTTTTAGGTCTAGTGTAATACTGATAGAAGTTTTCTTCAAATGACCGAAAGTCATGTAGGTACGCAATACGTTTATTAATATGTTTATTCAGTTGTTTTTGTTGAAAACAACCATGCTAGATTCTGAGTGTAATGAATTTTACCGTTTTCAACCGTCAACTTGGACTTGCTAAATCGTCACTTATTTTGTACATTTATTATAATAATATTATTGAGAATACTTTTATGTTGTTTTTTTTATCAGACTATTATAGCTTTTGCCCTTTATTAATAATGATAAAAAAAACTACTGTCTCACATTTTCCAGTACGCTATAAGAAAAATACCAAATTATTTTAAAATTATTATAATTTGCTTC